GCACCAAGAACTCAAGCCGCAGAAAACCGTAAGCACATCCAACCTGAAAGAGGCCGAACCTGACATGCGGCGACAGAACAATGGCAACCACAAAACGATGAAGAGGACTGACACACTCGCACCCTGCCTAGAACCACTCACGAGAGTACACATTGGGCAGCTCAGAACAGCATGTCCCCCTAGACGTCATGCATGTCTGCATTTTGCTGTGGCGGGCATATATTTAAACGGAGAAAACTGAATCTTGCTTTCCGAGAACGAAGAATAACCAGCACCACACCCACAGCCCAAGCATCCACCGTCATAGCCACCTAGACTATGCTCAACTAGGGAGAGCTTAAAAGAAAAACTGCATGGGCCGGAGATTAACCAAGACGACCCGGGATAAATAAAGTCAAATGCAACAAAATTTCCACCACGAGACAAGTGTTTTCCGAGGCTTTGGTTTTTGCGCGAACAAGACTTACTAGTTTTTTCGGCCAGCCGCTTTGAGCGCGAGCCATGCACGAACAACATCAATGCAAGGATGTTCTCACTAGAACATGTACTCCTGCAGGAGCGAAGACTAGACGCGTTGGGATAACCTACATCAAATACCTGGTATTTGTGTTTCCCGCTCCCGCCAACGTCAAGCCCTCATCAACGTCAAAATTGGACTGGCCTGATATCAAAACACCAAGAGATACACAGGCGTCCTTCGCGAGAACACCGGCGACAACCGACAGCAATGGAACCGCATTCCCTAAAGGGTCAAGAGACGATGCCCGGTCTCTTAACCTACGCCCTCAAAAGCATCACAGGATGCGATAAAGCCGAAATTTTTCCTCAAATCCGCCGCCACCGCTAGATGGCACTTCGCGAGTCGCGTGCTACACTACTGCTGTACTTGAAATGAAGGCCGTCTTGTTTGTCGGCTTCGCGCCGGTACTGCTAGTCTTCTAACCCTTCCTGTCGGCGCTCGACGCCGTCTATGCATCCCAGGCGTCGTAGAAGTCGATGCCGTCCTGCAGGCAGTGGTCCCACCTGAAGTTGTCGTACACGTACGGCAGCATGTTGTACCGGGCATCGAGGACTGCTAGGACCTCCCGGTTCGTGAGTTTGTTGCCGGTCTCTTCGTTTCCCTGCATGCCGGTCTTGATCTGCAGAGAGGGGGGGGGGAGGAGCGAGAGCAACAGCGAGTGTAAGAGAGGGCCAGAGAGATAGTACAAGAGAAACGCGCCGAAAAGCACAGACGAGGGGGTTCAGGTCAAGTTTT